GTCTCCCTGGAGCTGTCTCTCTGCTTCCAGGATCTCTCTGTCTTTCAGACAAAGAACTGTGTCTGGAGGTAAAGCCTGGGCAGGTTTTGCTCACCCCACCACCATCTGCCTCTCATTATGGGAGATTGCTCCCAGATTCCAGCATCGGGTCATCTGTCAGCTTCATTTTGGCATCACTGTGAATTTTCATTCTTCCGTTGTCTTAATAGCTCTATTGGACAACCAGAGCTAGGAGTGGCTACCTGGGTTTCTGCCAAGCTCACAGCCAGTTTGAAGTAGGAGTCAAAGCTGCGGTGTGTCTACCTGAAGCCAGCTCCCAATGCTGTGTGTGTGTGTGTGTGTGTGAGAGAGAGAGAGAGAGAGAGAGAAGGGCATTCAAGGGATGATTCTCTTACCCAGGGTCCCTGGTCCCACGACCTCAGCCGTGTGGAAGACAAGCACAACGCGGAGTCCACAAGCTGTCCCTGACTCCATGTCCTGCAGGTTGTTCATGTTCCCCACAGGGGCACACTGCAGTCTCTCCCAGCAAGCCTCTTCACTCGTGTTGTCCCCACGGTGCCAGCACACTGGGCTTCCGTCTTCCTGGCTCGCAGCATAGTGCATTACCTGTTGGGCCGCTAACCGCGAGGGCAGTAGTGGAAACCCACAGCAGAACTCGAACACCCAGACTCACTGCTGTCAAGACGAGTCCACTCACAGCAACCCCACCGGGCAGGGTCAAGCTGCCCCTGTGAGTTTCTGACACAGACTCTTGACCAGGGGAGAAAGGCTCATCTTCCTCCTGTGGAGAAGCTGGTTGTTTGGAATAACTGACCCTGAGGTTAGCGGTCTAACATGCCACCGCTCCGCCGCCTGGACTCCGCCCTTGAGCTGCAGTCCCTGGATAGCCAGCATCCCCCCCGTGGAGGGACTCGTGGTTTGTGAGGACAGGTCAAACCAGCCATCAAGAGATGCCACCCTTTCTAGGATGCTTTCTGCCCCAGGTGGAGACTTGGCTCTGGAAAGGCAAGCTCCCACAGGAGGCAGGTGACTCCACCATCCATCCGTCAGGTTGTCACACTGCACGGGGCTATGTGCTCCCCCTGATGCTGGAAGCTGCTGCGCCACTGGTATTTCCAGCACCAAGCGGGCCGCCCATGGGGGCCCAGGTCTCAGTGGAGCTTCCATACCAAGACAGGGAAGACATGGTCTGTCCCGTGATCTACTTCTGATGAAACTCTCTCTGTCGGATACAGTGCTGGGAGGTGAGGCCCCTAGGTTGGAAGGCAGCATGCACATGGGGGTCAACTCAATGACAAGGACAACAAAAATGCTTCTCTTTGCCGGCAGAGTGGTGGAGAGGGGAGGGAGGCAGGCAGCTGAGGGTGCAGTAGGCAGGCCGAGCCGTCTCCTCCCTGCACTGCAGCCTAGAGTTGGTTCTGAGCAGGTGTCCCCCGTGCCCCTCTGAGTCCTGGTTGGGAATACCCCTTTGAGTGGAGATTTGGACACCGCCCTCTCAGAGATGTAGCAACACTCAGAAGGACTAATGTGCTAAAGGGCGCACCGTGGACCCAGGTGGTTGACCGCAGAGCTGAGATGCAGTGACACCTCCCGCCCACCGGAGACCATCCCAGGTGGCTTCCTACCGGTGGGAGCAAGTGTCTTGACAGGAGCATGGACCTTTCTGGAGGGTGAGAATGGACAGTGCAGAGGGAGACTTTGGCTCCTGTACTTTGCACATGGACCTTCTCGGTTAAGACGCATTCTTGGAGAAGAACATCATGCTGGGTAAATTTGAGGGCCGGCAAAAAAGAGGAAGACACTTGAGGAGATGGGTAGACGCAGGGGCTGCAACAGCGCACTCCAACATAACACGCATGCGACGGACAGAGGACTGGGTGGGGTAGGGTCAGACTGACTCCATGGCACCCAGCCAGAGGAAAGTTAGAGAGGATTCGGGCTGTCCGGCGAGGGTGTCGCTGGGATCTGCTGCATCCCAGTAGGGGCAGTCCAGCCAGGTAGCTCGGGACCACCAGGATGTACACGTGGCTGGGGGTCCGCCACTACATGTGGTACTCGCCTCACCTTCTGCCCCCTCAGTCTCAGCCGCAGTAGAATGAAGAGCACTCTCTCTGGGTGGTCCAAACCCTCCCCCGGAGCCAGTCAGCTGGTGGGACTGTCCCTGGGAAGGGGGGTGGGGGGGAGCCCCCTGGACAGCAGGAAAGGGGCTGCTTGTCCCTCATTTTCTGAGCCTGCTCCCTAACTGAGGCAGCCGGGGAGGCTGCGAGGCCCAGGGCCCCCGGGCAGTGCAGTGGGCAGCAGCAGTTGGTGCTTGAATTGAGGCAGCCCCCTCCCTCAAGGCCAAGGTGCTGACTTGGGAGGGATGGGATTGTCTCCAGTTTGGTTCTCCTTCTTCTTCCCTAACAATGCCAAGCTTGAGGAGGGGCACTAGGCTCCCAGGCCCACCTGCGCCCAGGCTGTCCCCCCTGCAAGATGGGGGCAGTCACCTGTGTGTGTCTCCTCACCTCTCCAGCCGCCATCTCTGTGTGTCACAGAGACACACACCCAGTCCTGGCCCACCAGCCGTGCCCCACCACGATGGACAGAACATAGTCTGGCTGGTCCTCCCCACCATGGCCCCCACGCCCGCCTCCTCTTAGCCAAGGCCATGGCGCTCACTCCCAAAACCCGAATCTCCACCACGGAGTTGTTTCTGACTCTGTAGGACCGAGGAGAACCGCCCGCCCCAGTGAGTTTCCAAGACGTTTAACTCTTGAGTCTGATCAGGAGCGGGATTGGAGAGCAGACCCCAGAGAGCCCTGAGCAGCGCCTCCATTACTGCCGGCCCTTCCCCGTGACCGTCCCCACAGCCAGAGGCAGCGGCCGGCCATCCCTGCCCTCAGCACTAGGGACACCAAGCGGGGCCTCTCAGGAGCAGCGCACCTGCCAAAGGTCACCGCCTGGACGGTTTTGGGAACAGTGAAATGGTTCCGTGTAAGAAAAGGATCTGGTTTAAGCAACAGGAACGACAAGCAGGAAGATGTGTTTGTGCAGCAGACGGCCATAAAGAACAGCCCCGGGAAGTCCCTTCTCAGCGCAGGGGATGGCGCGACTGTGGGGGTTGTGCTGGAGGAGAAAAGGGCGCCCAGACAGCAGATGTTACAGGTCCCGGTGGCGTCCCCATGCCAGGCAGTCACTAGACAGCCGACTGTAACCATTGTAGGCCTTGCCCATGTTGTAGGGGGCCTCCACGCAACTTCCAGCACAATTCCCAGAAAAGCGAGAGTTGGGAAAAGGAGGAGGGATGGGAGAATGCTGCTGAAGACCAGGCCCCACAGCACCGGCCCCTACCGCAGGCGACGGGCCCCACCTCGCTACATGCTGAGACCCTACGGGTGTCGACCATGGTGTTCCAACCCTCCCGTGGCAGGAGAAGTGATGGAGGGTGCTGACCACTTGGGTGCAGGAGAACAAGGTAGACCAGTGAGACAGAGAATGTACTGAGGCTATAGACCATAGTTTCACAGGGGCCCTCCTTGCTGCCCCCGCCGGCGCCCAGATCACCCAAACCTGTAACATGGCAAGGAGACCACATTAGCTGACCCACCAGCGGAGAGTCGTAAATGAATATGAAATCCCAGCAATACGAAATGAACGAGAGATTAGAGCTGAAGTCCTTACGCTGTGTACTTGCCTTTTCGCCCATGGACCAGATAGCTGGAACTAGCTGCGTGACTAGAACTGTCCACGCAGCGTGGGGTTTTGATTACTTTTACCTAAAGACGTCTCTTTTTGGTCATGATAAACGTGTTTTTTTAAAAAACTGGTTTTTCTCCATACACCTTTAAAGATTTTTAATTGTTTCATATCTGGTTAAGTTGGTATTTTTAATTTGTAATCAAAGTTTACAGCTTGATTTTTTTTAAAAAGTCAACAAGCTGCAAGCACTGGCTAATAAAGGTCTTAAATTAAAAGAATGAAATGAAATTTTAAAAGTCGTTAGCTTACTATGGGAGTAGAAAGCCTCATCTTTCTCCTTTGGAGCAGCGGATGGGTTTGATCTGCTAACCTTTGCAGTTAGGAGCCCTGTTTGTAGCCCACTATGCCACCAGGCTTCGTCAGCCTAGGCACTAGCTGTCCACACACACTGAGCTGGTGGCGTAGCTTCTCTGGGCCTCCCTTCTCACTGAGGGACAGCTCTGAGACTGTGACCAAGTCAGTGTTTAGAGGTGACTGGGTCGGGGCACTTGGCCAGGCATCCAAGAGAGTCACTGGACACAGGACCTGGTGACAATAATGCAGCAGGGAGAGGATGGGAGGGTGGTTTACATCTGGGGGTGCCATCGCGGGCAGGCCCAGGGCACCAGGCACATCCTGCTCGCTCAGCCTGGGCTCTGGACACCCCTGAGACTGGGCAAGCCTGCCTCTCAGCAGTAGGGCCCATTAGAACTGAACTCACTCCGTAGGGCATTTTATTTGCACACTCCAGTAGAGTGGACACCAAAGGGGCTTTCTAATGCTTCACGGGCTGCTAATTTCCTCCGTGACCCCTTTTGTTGGGGCCTGACCCCATCCAGAGGCTCTGCGCAGGGGAAGCCAGCGCCTGACACAGACCCGGGGCTGGGGGTGACAATGAGGCTTCTATGGGCTTTAATCAGGCTCCAGTGGCGTCTTAAGAACAGGAGGAGTTTGTGCAACCCTGGGTGGCTCAATGCCGGCGCCCCGACTCTCCCAGAGGCTGAGGCAGCCCACAGGCAGCAGCGAAAGGATTCGTCAGGCTGGGGTGGGGGGTGGGGGGCAAGGGGGCGGGGTGGGGGCAGGGCCCCTTTGTCCCAGCACCTCTTTAGAAGGCCAGGCTGGCCCTGAATGGCCGCCTGCCCAGGCTGCCGCAGCCTGGCTGGCCAAGGGGTATCAGGGACGGACGTGCGTATTCCGGGAGGTGGCCTCCGCCTGCCCGCTAGGCTATTCAGTGCGGCCTAATTAGTTTTTGTCTGTGCTTCTCCCGCTCCCCTCTCCCCCAGACTGCGATTCCTACTGCAAGGCCTCCAAAGGGAAGCTGAAGATTAACATGAAAAAGTACTGCAAGAAGGACTATGGTAAGTGAGGGGTCCTGCTGTCTCCGGAGGGCAGGAGGGGGGCCAGTGGGGAGTGAGGCTGGGGTGCAGGTGGCTCCGGTCGGTGTGGCTCCTACAGGCCGGACACTGGCCCAGACCAAGCTGGGGGGACTGCAGAGTCAGCAGTTTCCTCCCTTCCATCTTGGCCCTCAGAGCCTAGGGGTGGGAGGGGCTCACAACTGGCCAAGGGGAGGCCCCCCCCAGAGCGACCAAAGCTGGGAATCTCAGGTTGGGCCCTGGTCCTCCCTTTGGCCCTGGTGGGCTGTGTTGTTACTACTTCACAGTCAGTGTCCCATTGGCCCTGAGTCTGTGCTTCGCAAAGGAGCCCTCCTGTTGGCCACCTTGAGTAAACATGAGACTGCTAACCTCAAGGCCAGCGGTTCAAACCCACCAGCAGCTTTGTGGGAGAAAGATGAGGCTGCCTGCTCCCATAGAGATGTGAACCCTTGGAATCCCTGTGCAGGGTCTGTCTCAGGAGGATCCCGTGGCAGCGGTATTAGTGGAAATGTCTTGATGGGCCAGTGTTCCTCACAGTGAGGTCCTATGCTCCTTCCTGTTCCCCAAAGTCCCTCTGTGCCCTTTTTAGGGTGCCTTATCCCAGAGCTGTCCTTGGCATGCTTGGGACCACTTTAAAAGCAGGGTCAGCCTCACCCCAGCTGTGCCGAGAAGGAAGCATCAGGCGCAGGGCCTCCAGGAGTGACACCCTAGGGCCTGGCTGTGGGTGGGGCAGCTCAGGCAGCAGGTGCCGGCCCTGCTCTGAGGCTGGGCTGGTGGGGTCTTAGGGCCAGGGCCCCCAGATCTTGTGAGGGACATTTGGATGGAGTGTGGATGAGCCTGAATATTTCCACCCCTCTTGCTCCTGGGCAAATCTGGGCCAGCCGTGAGGGGCGAGGGGCCAGGCCAGGGAAGGCCAGCTGCCTCACAGCTCTGGCTGACCCTACAGCTGCCCCAGCCCTTCCCTGTCTGAGGCCAACTCCCGAGAGCTTCCATGGGGAGCGCTTCTATAATCTGGCGGGGTGGGGGGGCATGTGTGACCCGCTTCTCAGAGGACCTTCTCCAGGTGAGAACGAATTGGAGGCCCCAGGCCTGCATTCTAACCTCAGGCTAGCAGTCTGAGCCTGCCCAGCACCATGTGTGCGCATGTGTCAGAGTGCTGCGTGTGTGTGTACACACGTCATTATGCTACGTATGCTGTGTATGCATGCATGCGTGTCAGTGTGTTCTGCGTGTTGTATGTGTGCCTGTGTTGAGTAGGCTGTGTGTGTGCACACATGTCAGTATGCTGGGTGTATGTGTACACGTTCCAGTACACTCTCGTGTGTGTGTGTGTGTGTGTGTGTGTGTGTGTGTGTGTGCACGTGTGCCAGTGTGCTGTGTTGTGTGTGTGTGTGTGGCTGTGTGCGTGTATGTGTAAGCACACGCAGGAGAAAGGCTTCCATAACAGCTAACAGCCCAGGAAACCCCGTGGGGCCTCTCTGCTCAGCCATGCCCGGGAGCTCTGTGGGGAACAGTCAACCTGACAGCAGTGGACTGGACCTTGCAGGGCGCCATGCATCCCACACGGAGGAAGGGTGGTTGTGTCCCCCTGCCGGGTCAGCCAGGGCCTGCAGTCACAATTCTAAATTTGCTGGGGAACATTGGCCACAGCACCTCACCAGCCTGGGCCTCAGATGGAGGTGGACCCCAGGAGACAAAAAGTCCTTCTGAGGGGACATCGAGCATACACCCCCATACACACACACACCCCGGACACCATGTCTCCAGTGGCGCTGCCATCTCCCCCGCTCTCTCTGGGGGCCACTTCAGCCCTCAGTTGCCCTCAGGGAACCCAGCTCCCCTCACCAGTGCTGCACTGGGGCAGCCGAGCCAGGTGGGGGCCAAGGGAGGAGCCTGGCCAAGGTCTCTGGCTTTCAAGCCACTCCCACCAGCTCCTCGGGGGGATGCCCCTCCCACGGACTCGCTTCTTATAGACTCCCGGGTTAGGGATTGGGACGCTCACTGTGCATCTGTGCTGTATATGCACGTGGAGTGAGAGTATATGTATGTGTGCGTGTTTGTGCATAAGCGTGCCATCTGTGTAATATGTGAGTGTATGCATATGTGCACATGAGCATGCCATCCACACACGTGTACCTGCGAGGGCTGTGCATGAATGAGCATGATTGCATGTATGTATACACATACACACTAGTATACTGGGTGCATGTGTGTGGGCATGTCGATGTGTGGCATGTTTTGTATGAGTGTGCACGCATGGAAGTGTGTTTGTGTATGCATCTGCACACACATGAGTGTGCCCAGGGCAGTGTGCTGTGTATGTTGTGTAGGAGCATGCATGTGCCTGAGTGTGTTCTGAATGCGTGTGTGCTGTATATACTGTGTATAAGGGTCTATATGTTTGTGCTGTTTGCACGTGAACTCGTGTCAGTGTGCTGTGCATGAGTGTTCCTGTGTGAATTCCCTGTGAGTGTGCACAGGTGTGAACACGCAGTAGGTGTGTGTGTGCATACATGTGCTGAGTGTGCACACATGCCAATGTTGTGTGTATTGTGTATGAGTGCGTGCGTGTGAGTTCCCTGTGGGTGTGAGAGTGTGAGTATGCTATGTGAGTGTGGACCGGTGTGAGTGTTTGTGTGTGCACTGGTGTGCATATACTATGTGTGTTGTATGTACATGTGTGTTGTGTATGAGTGTGTGCTATGTGTGCTGTGTCTGCGTGTGTGTGTGTGTGTACATGTGTGTACACAAAGTCTGCATCCCTTCGGCCCCCTGGCCTCTGGCTGAGCACCTCGCTCTTGGTTGGCCGGCAGCTGCTCTGAGGCGTGTCCCCACAGCAGCCAGGCTCCAGCTGCGCAGTCAGAATGACCCTTGGTCCTGCAGCACACACGCCCACACGCCTACACCTAACCTTTCCCACCCAAGCCGTCCCCACCACACATCCACAGAGCGCCTTTGGGGGTGCTGAGATTCCCCGCCTCTGCCCTCCAGGAGGGAGACTGGCAAAGCGATGTGCCTCCAGGGGAGGGGGAGGGGACGGGAGGGCAGCTCCGGAGCCCAAGGAGCCAGTGTTGATGCGCAAATCGGGGGTCCCAGGCAGGGAGAGGGGCTTCTGGGTCCTGGAAACTGGAACCCACCTGGTGACAGTGAGTGGTCTGGTGGGCACGGGGGTACCAGGTGCCAGGGAAGAGCCTGGGGAGGGTGGAGAGAGGTTAGAGGGCTTGCGTGGCAGGGAGACACACGGGGTCTAGATGCTGCCCCTGCCCCTCCCCCTACTCCCCCACCCCCACCCCCAGGCACACGCAGGACGAGGGAGACAGGCCGCTCGGAAAGGTGAGCTCAGCTCACGTTGGACAGTTCTTGGAAAGCTGGTCCATTTCCCAGCAGTGTTTCTTTGGCACCGCCAGACAGAAAACCCAAAGTGTGTGTCCTGAGAAGGTTCACCTCGTGTGCCTCCCGAGCGCCCACAAGGCTGGCTGCTGAGGGGGCACTCTGCCGGCATCCGTGGGGAGCAGCTGGCCTGCTGGGCCATGTGTGCATGTGCACGTGCAGGCCCACTCCAGCGTGGACTTCTTCGGGGACTGACGGCAGAGGGAGTCGGGGGCCTCAGCGAGAGTCTGAATTCCATCAGCGTGCCCACCTCCACTCCCTGTGCGCTCTGGCACTTCGGCAGGCAGGGATGGCGGGAGACAGGTGTCCGAGTCAGTGGTTGCCCCTCCGTCAGCCTGCTCAGGCCCTGGTCTGGGCATGGCCCCCACTCCACTGGCATGCTTACGGAATCCTCACAGATATGTATGACTGGAAGGAGGGGTTTGTACCCTCTAGTTCCAGATACATGACATCCCCTGCACCAGGACTTGAGGTCCATGGAGGAGAGCCTGGGGCAGCCTGGGTCGGCCCAGCCACCCCCAGCAGCCTCCAGCACAAGTTCCCTGATTCTCCCCTGGACCAATGGCACCCTGGCCTCTGGAGATTCCCTTCATCCGGAGTGGGCTGCATGACAGGGCGCTGCTAGTCATGGTGGGAGGCCAGGGTTGGCCTGACTGTTACGTCCATGCGCATGGCCATGGGGAATTTGTGGGAAGATCCAAGGTGGCCGGCGGGAGGCCCAGCGGCCGTGGGGGTGATGCTCAGGGGGGAATGATGGCAACAGCATGGTGCTAATGCAGATGACGGGCCCTGGGTGGTATCAACGGTTTGTGCTTGACTGGCCCCAAGGTTGCCGGTTCAAGCCCAGCTGAGGAAGAAAGGCCCAGTAACCTGTGTCTGTCCAAACCGTGCAGCTGGGAAGACCCATCGAAGCAGGCTTTCTGCCCAGCTCCGGGGGTGTGAGCTGAACCAATGGCGGCCTGTGGACTCCTGGGGGTAGTGAGGGGGACAGATGGTGGGAGTCGGCAGTGGTGGAAGTAGAGCCCCTCCCTCTCCCAGCTCTTGTCTGGCCCTCGGACTGGGAAGAAGGGGAGCTTGGGTGTGAGGGGTCACAGGACTGGAGCCTTTTGTGCGCCTCAAGCCGCAGGGCCATGGGCCTCTCAGCAAAGGGCAGCCTCGCCTCCCTCTGCGCCCTCCCCTTCCTGTTCTTGACCTAGAGGTCAGTAGCTATTCCTGGCCAGGGCTGACCCCTCCGTGTGCCCAGGCCTGGACAGGTTATCAGCCCTCCCGCTCCGTGGGAGAAGCAGCTGCCTGCAGAGCAGGGCATGACTCTGGGGCCTGGGTTAGCGCGCAGATGTTAGTGCCACTCTCAGGGGGCTGTCCCTCAGGGGGAGGCCCGTACAGGAGCTGGGCATTTGACAGAGCCCCAGCCAAGGCCAGGGAGCCAGCTGGCAGTGTGGCTCGGAGAGGCCACCTCCCCCAGGGCATTGTCCCCAGCAGACCAGCCAGCAGCACGTGGTGGCATGGTGTTTCAGAAGGTCATGGACCCTTTCCTGGGGGTCATTGGCCCCCTGGGGATCTTCCAATTTCCCCAGCCAGATGTGACCTCCCCCCCA